CAGCAAAACAAAACAAAAACAAAACAAAACAAAAACCAAAAAGACCGGGAGACAAAGTAGGAGGCTGTGGCTGCAGACCTGATGAGAGAGGATAGCACCTTGAGCCAGGGCATGAGCTTGATGCTGGCAGACAGGGGCAAACTGGGACCAGCAGTTAGCCTAATGGCTATGTTGCTGAACTCCCATGTAGTTGACCCCAGTTCAAGTCCCAGACCAGGTGGCTTAAACTCATGCTGGGCGCACTTGCATGCATGCCCAAGATCCCAAGAGGAAAATGGAGAAGGGATTGTGGTGTGTCCATCCCCCCTGAGGGGTGATTTCTCGCTTTCTGTCTTTCTGACTCTCTCTCTGTCTTTCCGGTGAGCGAACCTGCCCTATAGCAAAAAAAAAAAAAAAAAAAAGGAGGGGGAGACCGTGTACAGCTTCTGCCAATAAACAGGGCAGGAGTAAGCGGCGGTGAACCGGAGGAGGCGACAGGCGAAGTCCAGGCTCCAACGCTGAGAGAGAGGGAAGTCGAGGGTTTGTGAAGTCCTAAGAAACAGGGAGCTCCAGGTTGGGGCAGCTGGACAGTCACTCCTTGCCCTTCCGCAGTTCTCCAGGAATGGGCCCCACTGCATTGCCATGGGCTCAGTGCCTGTCCCCAGGCTGGGGCCCACATCCATTGGCATGGTGAAGAAGACATTTGAACTCCCATCCGAAATAACAGACACATAGTAAATATCTACCGAAATAGGGATCGAATTTCATTTCCTCCCCTTACAAATGAGAGAGGCCAAAGCCCAGAAGGTTAAATGCGTCATGAGAGGAGTTGAGGATTTGTGGCATAAGGAGACCCTCACCTCGGCACCCGGTCTCTGCTCTGATACAAGTGAACGGGACGCTAGGATTAAGTCGGCAACCGAATGTCGGGTCCATGGCTCCTCCTGCGTGGAGCAGGTGAGAAGCATGAGTTATGGAAAACTCCTGTGCTTCTCTGGAGACGCTCTCTCTATATTGGAAATCTAGTGTCCTTCAATGGTAATGTTTGGTGCTAAAGGTGACAACGAGGGAGGCAAGAAGCCCCTGCGGAGGGGAACACAAACCTGAATAAGACCTCTCCTGCCTTTACACTCACAGGATAGGGCAGCGAAAAGCGTAAACTAGCGTCCAGCCAAATCCTGGGTTTGAATTTCTGTCCTGTAGCAGAGGGACTCATTTCAGAGAGGAGTCTAGCCCAGCAGGGAGGGAGCGAGATCTCTTGCCCCAGGAAATACACACTGGCTTCGCTGCACCTGCAGCCTGCTTTGCTCCGTGAGTCAGTCTGCAAGCTGCCAGGCCTGCACAGGCTCTCTGCAAAGGGCACGTGTACCCTCGGCCGACCGCAGGTGTCTGCAGCCCCAGACCATCTGCTCAGTCCACTTCCCGCTTTGTTCCCACTGCGCATCGCCTCTCCCAGTCTGGCCACGCCACACTGCTTGCTTGGGGCCTTAGGCCGTGCTCACCGGACCAAGCTGATCCATCCTGCCCTCCCTAGTCCCACCGCCCTTCCTCCTCTGTTCTCCAAACCGAAACTTTGCCCCTCTGTGATAATCTGTCTCTCCTCCAAACAGTACGGATCTCACTTCTCTGAGCTTTTCCGGAACACCTGCAGGGGAAGGGCTTCCGCACAGCAGAGGAAGGGAACCAATGCGGACAGTGGGGAAGGCGCTGGCCCGCCGGGAGCCCGCTGGGGGCAGGCAGACCTCTAATTGGCACCTCCTGTGCTCTGGTGACCAGCAGGTACAGGGCTGGGCGCAGAGCTCTTCTGGCCTGAAGACCCAGGGCCACGCCTGTGGTGAACGCAGCTGAGAGCGAGACCTAGAGCCAGCTGGGCGAGCACTGGTGATGACGGTGAAGTCTGACCCGCACTGCGGTTCCCTCAGAACTACACTGGGCCTTCTTGGACTTGGTGAAAACGTATCTTTAGAGAAATCCAAGGAGTGGCTGATGTGACTTTCTGTCCTCCCAGCTCTTGCAAAAAGCGCTGCGCTTCACGGCTCCGCTAGGAGGCAGGAGAGGTCACGTTACACAGGCAGGGAATCTTTTTTTTTTTTTTTAAAGTAACTAAGTTTTTTTTCTGACCAGGCCAATCGCTGAAATTAGGTAGAGTAAGTGAGGGAAAAAAATCAGAAAAACATTTTAAAAATGATTACATTTTTGTATGACTAAGATGTTTCTATGTGGTGCTTCTCATTTCATTAATAGTTTTAAATTGTCACCTTTATTTACCTACTTTTATCATTGAAAACTCTCCATAATAAAAACTTTTAAAATAAAAATTCAAGGCCAATCGCTGAAATTAGGTAGAGTAAGTGAGGGAAAAAAATCAGAAAAACATTTTAAAAATGATTACATTTTTGTATGACTAAGATGTTTCTATGTGGTGCTTCTCATTTCATTAATAGTTTTAAATTGTCACCTTTATTTACCTACTTTTATCATTGAAAACTCTCCATAATAAAAACTTTTAAAATAAAAATTCACCTAAAGTGACATCTAAATGTAATATTATTTACAATATAACAGAGTTTTTAAAAATTATTTGAATTCTCGGGACCAGCAAATTGCATAAACTTACATTGCTGGATTCAGGCAGTCTACCACCATTCGAGTCCGGACCGTATAGTTACATTGCTGGACTCAGGCAGTCTACCACCATTCAAGTCCGGACCCCAACTTGAAACTCAGGCTAGTATGTGTGCATGCATGCCCAGGATCCTGAGATGAGAATGGAGGAGAAAGGAATGCAGCATGGCATGGGCATCCCCCCTGGAGGAGCGATTTCTCACTTTCTGTTTCTCTGTCTCTCTCTGTCTCTGTGGTGAGTACACGTGATCAATAGAAAAAAAAAAAAAACTCTCTAATGGATTCTGGGACCAATGGGTGGCATGGTAGTTAAAGTGCTTGACTCCCACATGTCCAAGCACAGTTTGAGTCCTAGACCTAGCAGTTTGAAAATTATACAGGGCACATGTGCATGCCTTCTAAAATCCTGAGAAAAGATTGGAGGAGAAGGAATTGCAGGGTAGTCATTCCCCCTTGTGGAGTGAGTTCTTACTTTCCCTCTCTCTATCTCTCTGGCAAGCACACATGAACTATGGCAAAAAAAAAAAAAAAAAAAAAAAACAATGTAATGAAAACATTTTTTATGAACTATGGCAAAAAAAAAAAAAAAGAAAGAAAGAAAGAAAAAGAAAAAAATACCTGAATAAATAAATAACAAAGAAATTGTGTAGAGTCACTTTAAAGATTATATGAAAGAAAAAGTTCCCATTTTGTGCAAGGAAATACAAAAACCCAAGAACAGTCAAAAGAATATTAATTGATTTTAAACAATGATATGATTCCATAATAATCAAAATATTAATTTTTGAAGGAATAGAGAAGATGATCAGTGCACTAGAATATAGAGTTCAGAAACTGGTTACAACACAAAGAGTAACATGACATAAGACAAATATAATGTTTTAATCCTGTACATCAATGATGATAGATTCAATGGCTCGCATGGTTGGCTGTTGGTCTTGTAATAAAGGTTAGACTTCTACTTCCCACCCTAGATATTTTTCTAAGATCTTAAGAACACAATAATGTGACACAGGGACTAGGGTAATCCTATCCAAAGAAGAAAGCTAGAATAAAAACATAGCTACTCTATACTTTTAATATATAACAAAGCAAGGGACCAACAGATGACATAATGGTTAGTTACATCACTGGACTCCACACAGTCCACTGCAGTTCAAGTCTCAGAACTGATGGCTTGAAACTCACACTGGGCACATGTGTGTGCATGTCCAAAGTCAAGAGAGAATGGAAAAGGGATCGCGGCATGCCATCCCCTCCTGGAGTTGACTTCTAGCTTTCTATCTCTCTGTCTTTCTCTGTCTCTCTGGTGAGTGCATGTAGCCTATAGCAAAAAATCTCTCTCAAAAAATAATAATAATGATAACAATATCTAGCAGAGGGCATTTAATAGATTATCAGATATATTTTACCATATGAAGTATACAAATTTGTGATTATAATTTAAAAATAACTACTAAAATAGATTTTTTAAAAAAGGGTTAACAATCATGTCAGCCCCTAATGGTTAGTTTAGCTGTATCTGACATTGCCAGCTGGTTTCAGTCATGATCCTAGTGGCTTGAAAAACATGACAGGTTCATGTGTGTGTGTACCCCAAATCCCAAAAGAGGGGAACACGCGGTCTGTGCCCTGACTTTAGTCCCAGACCCCCAGCTCCGTCGTCCTCCACTCTCCTCTCCCTCTTGGCCTTCCGTGACTCGGCCCGGCGCTGTTGCCAAAATAGAGGAGAAGAGATTGCAGCACAACAACACGCTTCTAGGGGTAGTGCTTTCTCCTTCACTCCCTCTCTCCCTCTCTCTCTCTCTCTCTTCTCGTGCCCTCTTCTCGTGCGTTCTCCCTTCCCCCTTTCCCCCCTCCCCCGTGCTCTATCTCCCCCGAGAATCCCTGAGAAGGTGGCAGCCACTCTGACCCTTAGGAGCCCAACAAGACGGCTCCAGCCGTCTCGTAATACGGAAACCCTTCGGTGAGCAAACGGAGCATCCCCAGCCGGCTCCTGGTCCAGCCCCCAGTGTCAACGTGTCGGTCTGGGAGGTGGCATCGGAGCCGAGGACCAAGTCCGTCTCGGCGCTGTGCTGTCCCGGCCTCTGCAACCGAAGGCGGGTACCACCTAAGAGACGCGGTTGCTGCTACTTTTACAAAACTCGAAGTGTCCTTATCCCCTTCGAAGTCCTGGCTTTGTTTCGTATAATACTTTGGGCTGGAATCCTGCAAAATCTAGCTAGGGCTTTGACCAAAAATGTATCTGTAGCAAACCTCAAAATGAATCAGAACTCCACGACTGTCACATTCCTTATTTTATTAGCTGGGGGAAAGTGAAGAGAATGGCTTTTTTGTAACAGTAGACAAGGCGCCATGAGCCACTGCACTTTTTAAACTGTGTGTCCATCCTGGGTCCATGTGTTGTATAATCTCATAACCATGGGGTCAGGCTTTATTTTTATGTGTGTGTGTTACTGTTTTGTACATAGACATGTGATATTTACTACCAAGCATTTCGATACTTTGCTCGCTACCCTCTTTATTTAACTACGTTATTTGCACAGTATGTCTTTCATCTAGTTACAGCCTGGTATCCTTAAACTCCCCTTGAAATTCCACAGCTACCGCCACAAGTTTTTGCTTAAATTTGGTTGAGTAAAATTTGGCTGCTATGCAACCCCGTCTGGAGCCAGCTGAACCTGGCTGACACGTTATCCACTCCTTCATCCTGACAATTCCTTTCTTCCCTACGAAGCTCCAAGCACTTGCCAAAAAAATACCACCTCCTAGTTTGCAGTGTCTAAAATGGTTGTGGGACTTGCAGTTGAACATGAAGCTCCTTCTGTCCAGAACTGCGCCTAATAAAGTGTGGGCAGCCCGCCTCTTGGGGAGAATCATTCTGGCCCAGGGAGAAGTCGGCTGCGTTCAGTTTGTGAAATGTAATATGAAAATGCTCCTGGCAGGACCTTGTATGTGACTGCCCAGATGGCAGAAATGCAGCATTTAGTGTCATTTTTGAATAGAGGAGGGGATGACCAAACAAAATCATTTCAAGTAACCCATTGACTTATTTGTACCCAAGATGCCGGGCTCAGAGGCTCAGGAGGTGGCTTCAGCCCCTGCCTCCTTGATCTCTCAGCCAGTGTGCCCCAGACCCTGTGATTTATTACTCACGTGTGCCTAAATAAAGTAGCATCTGTTTAAATGACAAATAATAATTTATACAAATAATAAATATTCATGAGATGTCAGCGTTGGCTGCAAATTGAATCACTATTATAAGAAATAACTGATCATTTTTAGGAGTAATATTGCACTGTGGTTTCATTTTTTAAAGTACATGGATATTTGGGGCCAGCAGTTAGTGTAATGGCTATGTCACTGGACTCCTATGTAGTCGACCCTGTTCGAGTCCCGGACCCGGTGGCTTAAACTCACGCCGAGCGTGTGTGCGTGTGTGCCCAAGATCCTGGGAATGGAGGGGAAGGGACTGCAGCGTGGCAATCCCCCATCGGGGATGATTTCTCGCTTTCTGTCTCTCTGTCTCTCTCTGTCTTCCTGGAGAGCGCACACACCCTATAGCAAAAACCTCTCAAAAAAAAAAAAAAAAAGTACATGGATATGCATATCGGACTATTTATGGGTAAAATGTGAACACATACTTGGAAAAGTAAATCCGTTTCGTTAAATTAGGTAATGGTTTCCCTAGCCTATTAGGAATGCTCTGTTTTGAGTTGCTATGCGGTTGGGGAGCAGGAACAACCAATGAGAGTGGACTGTGCAGGAAGCTCTGCTAGTGTCGGTCTCTGATTGGCAGATTGGGATTGCAGCCCACTGGGCGATTCCGAAGCGCAAACTACAGTCGCTAGGCCCGAGACTCCATTTATCCCACTGCGTTTGGTTTTTGTGATCGCGGCTGGGAGAGAGCCTTCCGAGAGGGAAAGGCTTCGTCGCCAATGCAGATGTGGATCAGACATCTGTCCTGATCCGCCAATTTGCCTCCGCCCAATTCCAAAATGCTTTGAATTTTTGGAAGTCCGGTCATGTTATTTGCTCTTATGAAGCGGAGGAGAGGGACAAGCACACGCTTTTCCTGCGGCATGAAACAGAGACATGGAAACAGTTAACAAATAGCTCAAGACCTCAAAAAGTCATACGTGGCTCACAAAACCCGATTTTCAGCGTGTGTATGGAGCCTGCGCCACCATGTTTATGAATACGGTGCTGCTATCTTTACATTGAAAAGTTAACAATCACAGGCACTTACCAACTTTGAAAATCTACTCTTTTTTTTTTGGAGAGGTTTTTGCTATAGGGCGCGCGTGCTCGCCAGACAGACAGAGACATAGAGACAGAAAGTGAGAAATCACCCCCCAGGGGGGATGGCCACGCCGCAATCCCTTCTCCTCCAGTCTCCTCTCAGGATTCTGGGCATGCACGCACATGTACCCGGCGTGAGTTTTAAGCCACCGGGTCCGCGATGCAAACCGCGGTCGACTACATGGGAGTCCAGTGACATAGCCATTACGCTAACTGCTAGTCCCAAAATCTACATTTTTTTTAAAGAGAGAATTTTTTTCTACAAGGTGGGTGCAGCCTCTGGAGAGACAGAGAGACAGAAAGTGAGAAATCATCCCCCAGAGGTTGGCCACACTGCAATCCCTTCTCCTCCATTCTCCTCTCCTGATTTGGGCATGCATGAATACACGCCTGGCATGAATTTTAAGCCGCGGGTCCAGGACTCGAACCATGGTCACCTACGTGGGAGTCCAGCAGTGCAACCATTACACCATGTGCTGCTCTCATCTACATTGTCTTTAAGTTTATTTCATGAGACAGAAACAGAGAAAGACACACACCGTCAACAGGGTCTCAGACCACTACCACCTCTAACCCCAGCCTTTCCCAAGCTGCCAGGATTACCAGCACATACGAGTCCCCCCAGGAAGCTGGATCTTCCATACACCTTCCAGAATTGCAGACCCTTGCCTTACCACTGCGCCCCCACAGTAGGGCCAAGGATCCATGCATGTCAGGAACAAATGACGAAGCATAAGTACTGGTTTGTTTCTGCAGCTTTGTTGACCCACAGCAGATTCTTGATCTATGCTAATTTAATGGGAGATTATGTCCCATTTTATGAAAAGATTTTCTTTCTGGGCAGACTAAGGAGATTCCTTTTGGTATGAAAGGTAAAGGGATTCCCTAAGAAGGTTTGGAGGGTGACAGAGTGACATGACTAATCACAACCTTTTGCTATTTTGGGGCCTTAATTTTTTCCTTGAAAAAGGGAAGTAACAAGTAGTTCTGAGGGTCAGCTGGTGGTGTGAGGTTAAGGCTGCTGGGTCCCACGTGGCTGACTAGGTAGTTTGAGTCCTGGACCAGCAGCATGAAATGATGCAGCACGTGTGCATGCATGCCCAAAATCCCGAGAAGAGAATGGAGGAGAGAGGATTGCACTCTGGTCATCCCTCCTGAGGGCAGGTTTCTCACTTTCTCACTTTGTCTCTCTGTCTCTCTGGCAAGCTCACACACCCTGTAGCAGAAACAAACAAAAATTAGTTCAGAAATCTTCATAATAAAAAATAATTATAAAATTCCTCATTGTCTATAAGTGAAAGTAATAAATGTGCCAGATTATTTAAAATCTCGACCTCTATGTTTGACATACAAAATCATCTTTAATCCTTAGACCTAAGAGAGAGAAAAGTTGGAGGGCGTGAGAGAGATCCGGCAGTTAGTGGAGTGAGAAATATTCTGAGGAGTGATGCTTTCTCCTGGCGACGCTTGTGAAGCCCTTTCTTTGTGGTGTTCATAATTAAAGGGAGAAGACAAATAATAAAGAAGTAAAGATATAATTTCAGAAAGTGATAAGTGGCATGAAGAATCACTGACTGGAATGTGTTCGTTTCCTAAGGCTGCTCTTAGAAAGTACCACCAACCAGGTGGCTTAAAATAACAAGAGTTTATTCTCTCACAGTTCTGGAGGCTAGAAGTCCCTTCTTTGCTTCTTTGGCTAGCGGTGGCCAGCCATCCTTAGCAATCCTCAGTTCACACTCCAAGCTCTGCCACTGTTGTCACTTGGCCATCCTTCTCCGTGTGTCTCTGTCTTCCTATGGTGCTTTCCTCTCTGTGTGGACCTCTTCTCTTCTTATCAGGACATCAGTCGTATTGGATGAGGGCCTAACTGAACAGCCTCATCCTAACTCAATTACATCTACAGAGATCTTATTTCCACATTAAGACATGTGCACAGGTACTGGGGCTTAGGCCTCAACGTCTCTTTTTGGTGGACACGATTTAACTAATCCCACAGGGTGAGACATGGAGAGGCCTAAGCAGGGGAATGGGGTGCTGTTTAGATGGATAGTCAGAGGCTCCCCGGGAGGGAGGAAACAAACTCTGCTGGTGACTGAAAGAAGATCCTGCCGGCCAAAAGTGCTGGAATGGGACAACTCGAGGTAGCCAGAGGGGCTGACCGACAGCAAGGTGGAGCGAGGTGATGGCAGGCCTGGTAAGGCTTAGGGCTTTCTTCTGAATTAGAAGAACATCACTGGAGGGTTCTGAGCAGAGAAATGCCCCGTTCTGATTTCCGTTTCTCTCTCTCTCTCTTTTTTTTTAATTGCCAGAGGGCATATAAGTAATTGGAGGCAGAGAGAGAGAGGGAAAGGAAGAAAGCCCCAATGAGGCATGGTCATGCCACACCCCCTTCCCGTGAGAACTCTGGGCACACGCCTCCATGTGTCCACAAGTCTTTCAAGCACCTGAGCTGGACTTACACCACGCGGTCAGCTGTGTGAGATCTAGCTCCCTTCACCACCAGGCCACAAGCTCGCCCTGACTTCTGTTTTCGAAGGTCGCCATTCTAGGGTGGAAGCAGGGAGCTACTTAGGAGGCTGAGACTAAATATGAAGGGGCTTTGAAAAGTTCATGGAAAGATGAATTCAAGTGTGGGTTTACTTTGGCACCACAATGTTCAAAATCCATGCATAGGTTTTCCATAGTATGCATTTTCCATGACCTTGTGAAGCCTCTTTTTTTTTTTTTTTAAGAGGTTTTTCGCTATAGGGCGCGTGCGCTGCCAGACAGACAGAGAGAGATAGAGAGGCAGAAAGGGAGAAATCACCCCCCAGGGGGGATGGTTACGCTGCAATCCCTTCTCCTCCATTCTCCTCTTGGGATCTTGGGCACGCACGCACACGCACCCAGCGTGAGTTTTATGCCACCGGGTCCAGGATGCGAACTGCGGTCGACTACGTGGGGAGTCCAGCGACATAGCCATTACGCTAACTGCTGGTCCCGTGAAGCCTCTTCATATCAATAGTTTGGGTGACAATGGGTTGGCCCAGGGCAATAGCAGCAGATGGAGGGAGAAGAGACTGCGTTCAAGGTCTGTTTTGAAGATAATACCAAGAGGATTTGCTGCTGGAGCGAGTGTGGTTTAGGAGAGAAAGGAAAGAATCAGATGAAGCTGAGGGTTTTGTCCTGAGCAGCTGGGCGGAGAGGTGCCATTTCCTGATAAAGCCGCAGGTCTGAGAGCCAGCCAGAGTTCAGATTTGGACATGTTAAATCGGAGATGCCTTCTCGTCTTCCAAGTGGTGGTGCTGAGTAAGCAACGGATGGGGTACTCAGAGCTGAGTGTAGAGGGCAGGGCAGGACAGGGGCTGGGGCGGCTCTCAGCTCTTAGCACAGAAGTGCTGCTTGACCTGGGGACAGTGTGAGGACACGGGTAGGGGGTGCAGTCGGAGAGGATTCCCGAGGATCCGAGTAGGAAGGGAAGGCGAGGGGGAGCTGCCAGAGAGACTGAGTGTTGTCAGTGACCTAAGAGGAAAGCCAAGACAGTGCCTTATCCCGGGAGCCAAGTGAATACGGGTTTTCAAGAAGAGAGTCATGGGGCCAGCAGTTAGTGTAATGGCTATGTCACTGGACTCCCACGTAGTCGACCGCGGTTCGAGTCCCGGACCCAGCGGCTTAAACTCACGCTGGGCGCGTGCCCAAGATCCTGAGAGGAGAATGGAGGAGAAGGGATTGCGGCGTGGCCATCCCCTCTGGGGGTGATTTCTCGCTTTCTATCTCTCTGTCTCTCTCTGACTTTCTGGCGAGTGCACGCTCCCTATAGCGCAAAACCTCTCCAAAAAAAAGAAGAGTCATCAATGTTCTCAGAAATCCTTCAGATGAATGTCTTTGCCCTGTAGTAGAAGTATCAAATTCCCAGACACTAGTGTGTTTTTTAGAAAATGGTACTTTAAGAAATAGGAGGAGGATTTGGGGGATGGGATTCCCAAAGGGACTAGGAAAAGGCTCTCATTTTTCTTCCATTTTCATTTCTTTAATGTTACTTGCCAGCTTCTTGGTTTTGTCCTTAAAAAGGTATGCAAGAGGACTCCCAGAAGTTCATAGAAAATGGAATTCAAGTGCTAGTTTATTTGGGTGAAAAAAATTGTGAAATCCATGCATAGTTTTTTCATAATTTGCATTTTCCATAAACTTTTAAAAAGTGTGTGTGTGTATATATATATGTATATATACACACATGCATATATATACACAGGTATACATATATAAACACACACACACATATTTATATATTCTGTGAGTAAAAGAGAGAGGAAGAAAGCACCTTCGACAGAGTCCCCATGTCACGGTACACCCCGCCATGGGCAGCCCTACGTCATGGCACATGACTGCCCTGTGCATTCAGGGAGGTTTCCAGACATGGACTGGAACCTTCCCGTGTGGGTCAGCCTTGCAGGCTGGCAGGCTTTACTGCTGGGTCACCATCGGGCTCTTCCAAGAATTCTTTAAAGACCTGTCATATGTGTTTCTGGGTGTTTCCCAAGGAATGGGAAAAATAAGAGTGGATATTTCTCAATTTATTTTTAATAACTAGCTGGGGGACATCGGAGTGACTCAGAAAATGGACGGTATGGTTGTTTGGATGCTACTGTCAGGGCTGACCTTTCCCCTTAACGGCCCATCAGGGAGGAAAAACCAAACCATCACAGCCCTGCGATATGAGCGACTGAGTACACTGTCATTTTCATCCGAGCAGCAAGCAGTGATTCTTCTCAGGAATTAATATTCTCCTCCACCACAATCCTATCAAGTTAGAGTTAACACACCAGGCGCGTGTGCATGCGTGCCTAAGATCCCAAGAGGAGAATGCAGAAGAAGGGATTGCAGCGTGGCCATGCCCCCTGGGGGGTGATTTCTCGCTTTCAAGTCTCTCTGTCTCTCCGTGTCTCTCTGGCGAGCGCATGCGCCCTATAGCAAATATCTCTTTTTAAAATAAAAAATGTAAGTGTGGTAATAGGTCACTGTGGTGAGTAAGGCTGACTGCAGTCCTTGGCTGAGGCTGAGTGACCAGTCTTCGTCCTGCTGACTTCTTGCTTAGGAAGATTTGTTCGTTCCTTTTGGAGACAAATTTTTGACCAGCATCTCCTCATTTGGGAGTTTTAATATGCCTTGGAAAAGCATCTGTAGCCAGCCCTTCCAGGAAGGTTGAGTTCTGTTTGACTTGGAACTCCTTTTCAAAGGCTGGCACGTCAAGCAAAGATTCCACTCAAAGGTGCTGTGCAGATTTGTGCAAATAAAGTGAAGCTATGACAATATGCTAATCTGTAAGTAAGTTGAGAGACCATGGCAGGAACCAGAGAAAGTGTCGCCTGGAAGTTAAAGGGTCTCAGGCCAGCCCGCTGCATGGTGGTTGTGGGAACTGGATTCTCCATGGTCGATTGCACAGCTCGCGTCTAGCTCTGGGGGCTTGGAAAACACACCAGGGTGTGGGCATGCACGTCCAAAATCCAGAAAGCAGGGAGAGGTGGCGTGGGTGGGTTTGTGTTGTGACTGCTCCCCATGGGGGGGCGTGGGCAGTGTGCTCGCTCGCTCTCTTTCTCTACCCCCCTTTAGTGAGCACCTCACCTTCAGGCAAAGATAAAGTGAGAGGGTCTGGTTTTCACCTCCTCCTTGGTGACCTAGGATGAGCCATTGGACATCTGTAAGTTAAGAGTAACAGCTGCTTTGTCCCACCACGCACGTATCAGAGATCAAACACGTGAACACCATGAGCGTCACTTGGCAAGCACACGCTCACCACGGGCCAGAGGCTACTCTCAGCATTTGGGACATTTAGCTCCTTTCATCCCCACAGACCGCGAGACACTATTATTACCATGTCCTCAGTTTACAGAGCAGGAAACTGAGCGAGAGCAGGCAAGAGCTTCCCAGGTCATGCAGCTAGAAAGTGGCAGGACACGCCTTAAGTCAAGAGCGATGTTTCATTGTTGGTGGATTCGGGCACCCATTTCTCTGTGAAATACATTATACAATAATCTCAGGAGGGCAGTGGTAATGGGTGTCACTTCTATTTAATATAGTCATTTAGCAAAAGTAGAATAATGCAAATATATTTATTTAATATAAAATCTTATGTTTTTAGGCCCTTGGAAGAGAACTAATTTACATGGTTAGACTGAAGGGTCATATTCTTTTCTTTTTAGATTTTTTGCCACAGGGTGCCTGAGCTCACCAGAGAGAGAGAGAGAGAGAGAGGGAAAGTGCGAAATCACCCCCTAGGGAGAACGGCCAGGGCACAATCCCTTCTCCTCCGTTCTCCTCGCAGGGTTTTGGGCACACGTGCACACGTGCCCAGTCCAAGCGTTCCTTAACAAAGTCAGGCACCGGAGTCAGTTTGTCCCTGGTGCCTGCATGTGTGGGCACTAGGCTGCTCTGTCACATGGCCATCATGATCCAGCCACTGATGAGTTCTGTGGCCACACAGCTAGACAGGTGGGGGGGGGGGGGGTCTGTCTGGTCAAAAGGTCCGATTATTTTATAGGGACAATAACTATGTTTTGGTTGTCTAATATGCATAACAAGATCATCTGATGCTTCGGAGACGCACAGCCACGTAAAACCTGACCGCCTGAGTCTGTGAATGCCAAAGGGTTTGTGGGTGGCTCTTGTCATTTCTCATAGTTCGAATCGCTGTCACATGGTAAAGAAAACACACCGTATTTGACATCAGTGCAGAGGTTCATTAATCTCATAGGCATCGTGTAGCTAAAATGTTTATGGAGCTGGGCCGGCAGGTGGCTTAGCGGTTAAGGCGCTGGACTCCCACATGGCTGACTGCGATTTGAGTCTCAGACCAGGTGGCTTGCTTTGTCACTTTCTCTTTCTTTCTGGTCAAATTTTAAAATAACAATAATAACAACAAATAAAAATGAAACAAATAATTGTTTAAAAAAGGCTTCTGAGGCTCAGATTACTTGAACATCTATAATGGTATTCTTTTTATCTTAAGAAAAAAACATGATTTTAGGGGGACCAGCAGTTAGTGTAATGGCTATGTCGCTGGACTCCCATGAATTCGACCGCAGTTAGAGTCCCGGACCCGGTGGCTTAAAACTCACGCCGGGCGTATGTGTGTGAAGAGAATGGAGGAGAAGGGATTGCGGCGTGGCCATTCCCCCTGGCGGGTGATTTCTCACTTTCTGTCTCTCTGTCTCTCTCTGTCTTTCCCCGTAGAGAAAAAACCACTCACAAAAAAAAAAAAAAAAAAAAAAGAAGAAGAAATGATTTTGGGGCCAGCAGGTGGCATGGTGGTTAAGGTGCTGGACACTTCCACGTGTCTGACCATGGTTTGAGTCCCAGACCTGGTGGCTTGCTTTCTCACTTTCTCTCTCTCCCTCCCTCTTTCTCTCTCTCTCTTTTTCTCTCTCTCTGCATGTGCGTCTGTCTCTGGTCAAATTAAAATAAATGACTGAATAAATAAAATTAAATAATTTTAAAAAACACGATTTCTATCCTATTGCAAATTTATAATTGGCATTGCTGATTCAGTGTACTTTTGCTGGTCTGATGTGTTCTCAACAGTTATAAGACTTCTTTTTTTTTAAGTTTATTTATTTATTGGGTTGTCAGAAGTCATGACACATTTTGCACAGAAAAGCAAAGAAAATTTATGACTTTTCTAGTGACCCAATACTTCTGAGAAAGAGAGAGCTAGGCACCCCAACAGGGTCTCCACACTGCGATCGACCCCCAGCTGAGGCCAGCCGAGGCCACAAGCACACGTGCCAGCAGATAGGGAGATCTTAGACTGAGAACCGGGGCCCTTCCTCCACGGCGTCAGCCTCACCGAGTGAGTGCTACGACCACGCAACTCTGCTGGCCATGGTGTGTCTCCTTCCAGGAGCTGGGGGAACAGCTGCATGTGAGCTGCGGTCTGCCTCCATGAGTCACTAAAAGCAGGGTGAATAAACCAGACATGCGGGCTTGGCAGAAGTCTGGGCACACAGCGGCTCAAACAGCAGATACTGGGGACTCTGCCCTGGAGACTGAGGTTCAAAGACACAGCTGTACTCCCTGGACTGACTGAGGAAGCTCAGCAGGACTGAGGGCCCAGAGGAAGAGGAGCAGAGGAAGGAGGGAAATAAAAGAGACTTGGGCCTAGGAGAGGAAACGGGGTCACCACTGGATGTGAGGTGAAGGAGAAGAGCCAGGCTCTGAGCGCCAAGCCTGCATGTCCAGGGAGGTCACCGTGGCCCGGGGCTGGAGGCTGAACCCTACGGGTGGGGTTGATCCCAGAGTCCCGGCCAGGCCAAGCTCAGAGTGGGAGCTAAGTGGCTCCTATTTCAGAGGTCAAAGGGCAACACACAAAAACACACAAAGAGAGCCAAGTTCACCCTTTCACTATTTTTTTTTTTTTGGAGAGGTTTTTGCTATAGGGCGTGTGCACTTGCCAGACAGACAGAGAGAAACATAGAGACAGAAAGCGAGAAATCACCCCCCCCAGGGGGAATGGTCACACCACAATCCCTTCTCCTCTATTCTCCTCTCGGGATCTTGGGCAGGTAGGCACACACGCCTGGCGTGAGTTTTAAGCCACCAGGTCCGGGACGCGAACCGCAGTCGACTACATGGGAGTCCAGTGACATAGCCATTACGCTAACTGCTGGTTCCCCACCCTTTCACTATTGAGTCTAAAATTTTAGTTGACTTTTTGGTTATGAGTTTTTCCTGATTTGTCACATTTTCCCCATTTTATACAAATGCTCTGTTATTCCCTCCATTGGCCAAGATTTCTGTAGTTAGTTCTTTAAAATATATACAGGACGTTTGTGCCCAGTGAAACGAGCACTTTGGAAACTGAGTTCTCCTCTTGCATTTCGCCATTAGCCAGCTAAGTGATGCAGGGCAATTTAGTTAACTTTTCACAATTTCTCTTTTTTAATCTACGACATTCAGACTTGACCTAAATGATCTCTAAAGATTCTACCAGTTTGAACATTTTGTAATTCTATGAACAAGCACCGAGGTAGCCTCAGAGTTCATGCGAACAGATGGTCAAGCTGGAACTGTCCAGTTAGTCCCCTTCTCATCCTTGCTGAGCTGGGTGGCTGCAGGGGCCTTAGCTGCAGGGGCCTTAGCTGAAATTTCTGGAGCTCGGTGGCCTCCCAAGGGCACAGCAGTGGGAGCAATCTTCCTTGGGTACAGGCAATGAGAAGGCAAAAACAATAATAAAATCAACCTAAAGTCAATCAGCTTTTATTTTTTTAAGAGACATTTTTGCTATAGGGCACATGTGTTTATGGGAGAGACAGAGAGACAGAAAGCGAGAAATCACCCCCTAGGGGATATCGCCATGCCACAATCCTTTCTCTCCCATTCTCTTGAGATTTTTGTGCATGCACGCACACACTCCTGGTGTGAGTTTCAAGTCACTGAGTCCAAGACTCAAACTGTAGTCACCTTACGTGGGAGTCCAGCAATGTAACCATTATGCCATCTGCTGCTCCCATTCGGTTATTTATTTATTTATTTATTTATTTTTTGGAGAAGTTTTCACTATAGGGTCCCTGTGCTCGCCACACAGACAGAGAAAGACAGAGAGACAGAAAGCGAGAAATCACCTCCCAGGGGGGATGGTCACGCCGCAACCCCTTCTCCTCCATTCTCCTCTCGGGATCTTGGGCATGCACGCACACGCGCCACGCATGAGTTTAATCCACCGGGTCCAACACTCAAACCACGGTCGACTACGTGAGAGTCCAGCGACATACCATTACGCTAACTGCTGGTCCCCCTCTTAGCACTTATTTTTAATGAACACTGTATTCTACCTGGGCAAGGTCAGCTCCTGACAGACGTAGGCCCCTCTCTGTGCATTCATTTTAAGAGCAAGTTTGAATGGTTCAGAAATCTTTCGAATGTGCTTCCAGTGCCATTTATGTCTCCGTTCCCCGTGACACAACGTATTTCTGCATCTGGGCGCTAGATTCTAAGTGAACAAGAAGGGTCGAATGTGGTACTGGTAACACGGTGGTCTGAACGCCGGCCCAGTGAGAAGGTTCCCGGCTTGTGTCCAGAGAGGTCTCTGAACACCATGTGCACACGTGCCCGTGATGGGGGTCAGGCTGAGACTGGGGTGGACCACGCATGAAGACCCTGTGGGGTGTTTATCTTGCTCTCTTCTCATTCATTGAAGGAAGAAATAAACTTTAAAAAAATGTTTATGAAACAATGATAGCACAGATGGCAAAGCCAGGAAACAAGCTGAGTGGCTTCTGTTCTCCCATTCTGCGCGATCGCTTGGAGACTGGGAAACAGGGTGTGAATTACAAGGAGAAACGTTTTTGGTTTTTGTTTTGTTTTGTTTTGTTTTCACTGCTGGATTCATTTTTTAATGAACTGAGTAAAGAATACCCAGTGGTTCCTTTTGTATGGAGGAAGCAAGATAAATATTAGCCTGGTAAGGTCACTTTGGTTTCCAGTGTGTGGGGAGTTCATTATGATGGGTCCTGAAAAATGACGCTGTGTAGTTTTTTCCGGTAGCAGAAGGTCACATCGTGCCCTTGGGTGGACATCAGGACAAACGTACTTGATAAAGTTGGAGGATGTGAGAGATGCACATTTTCAAGTCTTCTTCTTCCAAACAGAAACATCTTTGTTTTGTAAGAACAAATTTTAGTTCATACATGAAGCATTTGGCTGAATGTGAAGCTAAAAGATAATCCTTTGTAATCATTGTTCTAAAGAATGAATCAAGAACATCGTCATTATTACACGATTATCGTTGAAAATGATGTGGACATACGAGGGAGGGGGGAGTAAAAAGTAAGCCGCGCTCGGTATCACATTCCTGGACACGTTGCCTCCGTAACCCACTGTTCTCTCCTCGTTTCTGGACAGTTTCTGGCCAACACCTTCCCAAGAACAAGCATCCCAAGGAGCCAGGAGAGAACAGAATCAGACCTGCCAACAAAAAGGTGAAGCCCAAAGTTCCTAAAATAAAGGACAGGGATTCGGCGGACTCGACCTCGAGGACACAGTCTATCATGCTGCAGGTGATGGATAAAGGTCGTCTGCAGAAGCCCGCGGCCACCCTGAGTCTGATGGCAGGACAGACCGTAGAGCTTCGGTGTAAGGGGAGCAAAATCGGCTGGAGCTACCCCGCATACCTGGACACCTTCAAGGACTCCCGCCTTAGGTAAGCTTCTTTTTCATTTTGTTTATTTATTTATTTTTTAGCATTTGATGAGTCAAGAGTTTGGTTTTGCTCCCTCATATGATGTTGTTTCTGAATCTACCGTTTCACTCTAATAGATGATAAAAATAAAAGCCAGGGGGATCAGCAGATGGCATAATGGTTACATCACTGGACTTCCATGTAGTTGACCATAGTTCGAATCCCGGACCTGGCGGGATAAAACTCATGCCGGTTATGTGTGCGTGCATGCCCCAAACCACAAGAGAATGGAGAGAAGGGATTGTGGCATGGCCATTCCCCCCAGGGGAGTGATTTCTCACTTTTCGTCTTTCTGTCTCTCTCTGTCTCTCTGGTGAGTGCATATGTCCTATAGCAAAAAAAAAAAAAATCTCTCTTAAAAAAAAAAATAGAAAAGAAAAGAAGCAAGGAACAAAAGTCATGGATTTTATTTTTTCAACCCGTTTTTAAAAATGTGAATTTTACCAACATTTGGTCAAAAGCATAAAATTCTTTTTTTTTTTTTTTTGAGAGGTTTTTGCTATAGGGCGCATGCACTCGCCAGACACACAGAGAGAGACATAGAGACAGAAAGCGAGAAATCACCCCCCACAGGGGATGGTCACACCGCAATCCCTTCTCCTCCATTCTCCTCTCGGGATCTTGGGCATGCATGCACACGCGCCAGGAGTGAGTTTTAAGCCACCGGGTCTGGGACTTGAACCGCGGTCGACTACGTGGGAGTCCAGCAACATAGTCATTACGCTAACTGCTGGTTCCCAAAAGCATAAAATTCTTTAGGAAACCATATGACAATCTCATAGAAAGCCATAAGGCAAGAGTGAAATTTTATGAGAAACCAAAATTGTACAGGAAACCGATGCACAGCGATTGATATTTACGGATTCGTACTGTGAAGAATGGAGTCGGGTGGTGTTTCTCCAGCTATTATGACTTCTAAGCAGTTCGGCTGCTTCTGACTCTTTTCCTTTTGTGAATACATGACTTTTATAGTCAGAAGCCTCAACAGGTAAGAAGGCGAAAGATTTCTTATCTTTGAGAAATGAGTGTACCTTCAGGGGATTGGGCTTCTTTTGCAAGAAAAGGAGTTAAGAGATGGTTATGAAAATTAGCAAAGAGCCTGCTTCAGGCTGGAGGAGCCCCGAGGACTGGCTCGGCTCTGCTGTCAGGGCCTGTGTGAGGCTGGAGTCCTGCATATCTGTGGGGAAGGCCCCGGAACTCCTGGGTCTCCGTTTTCTCATGCACAGAATGAAGGGGATGGGATCACATGATTTCTAAGGTTTACAATGGAGAAAGCAGGCTATTGCCGGTCCAGGACGACTGGCAGGGAGAAGCAAGAATGCAAACAGCAGCGTCGCGCAAGCTCTGTGTGTGCGTGACACTCATTCCCACGGGAGCGCTGCCTCTGCGGAAACCCATCTTTTGCAAGGACACCCCTGTCCACCAGTGGCTCAACCAGAAAACTGGGTAGTGACTTGGTCTTCTTCCTTTTCAAGAGCCGTAAATGTATCCTGTTTCTGTTTCTGGGGTCATGGCACGAGCCCCAGCCACATTCCCTCCAGTCCTGCAGTAGCCACACACAGGGTTGTCCTGCTCCAGGCTCCTGCTCACTGTGGCAGTGGTGAGGCTCAGAGATGCAGAGCTGATGGCCACTCCCACCCACCCCGCCACACGCCACACCGGGTGGCTCGCCACTGGGCATAAAGCCGACATCCTCCCATGACTTCCAAACGCCCTTCGTCTTCCCTCTAAAGCCTCCCCTGCTCTCTGCGCCAGAAACTGCTTTCGTCCTGGGCTGCTGTGAGATGTGCCAGGCTCCTGGGGGCTTAACACTCGCTACTTTGGGGAATCAGCAGATAGCCTAATGATTATATTGGTGGACTCCCATGTAGTGGACCACGGTTCAAGTACTGGGCCCAGCAGCTTAGAACTCGCCCTAGGAATGAGCACATGCATGACCAAGATCCTGAGAAGAAATAGAAGAGAAGGGACTGTGGTGTGGTCATCCCCCCAGGGGGTGATCTCTCACTTTCTGTCTCTTCGTCTTTCTCTGTCTCTCCAGTGAGCACACATGCTCTATAGCAAAAATCTCTCTCTTAAAAAAAAAATAAAAGGACCAGCAGTTAGCGTAATGGCTGTGTCACTGGACTCCCATGTAGTCGGCCGCGGTTCACGACCCAGACCTGGTGGCTTGAAACTCACGCCGGGTGCGTGTGCGTGCGTGCCCAAGATCCCAAGAGGAGAACGGAGGAGAAGGGATTGCGGTGTGGCCATCCCCCCTGGGGGGTGATTTCTCGCTTTCTGTCTCTCTGTCTATCTGGCGAACGCATGCACCCTATAGCGAAAACCTCTCCAAAAAAAAAAAGAATGAGGAGATATAACTGATGGCAATAAAATACAACGTATCTGGGACCAGTATATGGCATAATGGTTACGTCGCTGGACTTCATCCCAGACCTGGCGGCTTGCTTTCTCACTCTCTCTCACTTTCTCTCTCTCTCTATATATATATGTGCCCTATAACAAATTAAATAATAATAATAAATAAAATTAAGTAAACAATTCTTTTATTTTAAGCCTGCAGCTTTAATTGCTTACCACACTAGGCCCCTCTTCACCTGCTGATCCCCCGGGCGCCTTCCTCTGGGACGCTGCACTAGGCCTTCTTGGGGGCACGTTCTCATGGTGCCTGGCATTGTCTCTCTCCCACTCTCTTCAAACTTATAACTTCCTTTTGGGGAAAAAAAAATCAGTGTTTTTCGCTGAGACTTAGGTGACTGCTTGGCATTTGGCTTTATGTAGTCGATGACTGGATGGCAGTACTCTCCCATTCACTTCAATGTAAGAAGTACTCCGCTTGGAGCAGATCTGGGGATGTGTCTTAATACTTGTGTGTTTGTGGGAGCAGTGGTTACACACACACACACACACAACAAAAAACAACCACATAACGTAAAATTATCCTCTGAATGACTTTTTGGTGTTCAATATAGGATTGTTCACCGTATCACATTGTTACAAAACAGGTCTCTGGATCTCGTTCATCTTACATGTCTGAACTCTGTGCGGTTTCCCCTCCCTCCGGCCCCCCAGGATGTTTTCTGTTTCTTTGTGTTTGGCCGCTCTTGAACCCTCCTCTAAGTGGAATCATACAGCATTTATCTTTCTGCGAAAGGCTTATTTCACTCAGCGTATGTCCTCAAAGCTCTTCCATGTCATAGCGTGTAATGGGATTTCCTTCTTGTTTCAGACTGCATAGTATTCCATTGTGTAAATATGCCAAGGCTTTTCATCCTTCCATCAGTAGTAGACATCCTGGTTGCTCCCACATTTTGGCTATTGAGACACAGTCTACAGTGAACACGGACGGACAGATGTCTGTTTGAGAGCCTGCTTTCAATCCTCTGTATATACCCGGCGGTGGTATTTACCACGTACGGTTTAAGCCCCTTAGTTTACCAAGGTCAGGTTTATATACAGAGTACAGCTCATTTAAATGATTCCAAACATTTTGTCAACTTACACAAAGTATCCTAAAGCTAGAAGATTATTTGATGCTTGAAGATTTAGTAGTTTCTAAGAATATTTTCCAAGCTGTATCTAAATTATATATTAAAATATGTTTGAAACCATTTTAAGGACTCAAAGTGAGTGAGCATGAATCTAAATTGGAGAGGAATGTCAGGCTGAAAAAAATCAGTTTCGACTTTTCAACATTGAATAATATTATTCACGTGAAGCATGGGAAGGGCCTCGTAAGAAAGCGGAGGCAGACGTGGGTCCCCGAGGACCTTAGGAGACATGTAAAAACGGTGGGGACAGCTAGCCACACCTTCTATCAAACAAAAGGCGCGCTTTGACACCAGCGACTTGAGAAATGGACTCGACCGACTGCTCTGCCCTGGATGGCGCTGCCTTTGCACAGAGGAGCATTCATCTGCGTTCTCCCCCGGGGCACGAGTTCTTGCCAGGGTTGGGACGGCTTTGGGGCTGGAAGTTCCCCAGGTGGGCTTCCAACAAGGCTTCGCAGTGTTACCCAGTACGGGTAGCTCTCTGGAACCAAGTTTACGTGCCACCGCATTCATCCAGACTCAGTCTTCTGGCAGCTTCATCTTTTTCCACTCGTGAGGTCTCCTTGGCATGGACCAGCAGAGGCAGCAGTTTGTGAGGAAGGAGGCAGTGCAGCTAGAAGAGCCCCGGGAAGTGAGACAGGGCCTGTTGGAGAAGAACGCCACGTGCATCTGTTTTTCCCGAAGTGCCGGGAATGCCCTAGTTGCTTACGAAGCACTTGTAGTTTAGACAGCGTGCTGCTCTGTCATACTGCTCCTGCCTCGGCCTCCCGACTAGCCGAGACTACGGTACATGCCCCTGTCCTTGGCTCTTACGAAGGTTCAGAGTTGAACCCGGGTCTCCCATGTCCCCTCAGCCTGCTGAGCAGCAGCGTCCAGCTGAACTACTGTGGTCGGGCCAAAATACTCAAAAAAAATAATACGTTGGACTTTCTTCATTGAGGTATACAACTTGGATGAATGATTAAACATGCTATCGAGAAAGAAAAGTGAGGGGCCAGGTGGTGGCCCAGTGGTCAAATGCATTGATCTGTAAGACTGACTGACATAAAGGAGTCCGGAGTTCACATCCGGAGACCTCTCTGAATGTCCAGGGGGCACACACACACACAGGGGCCTCTGGATCTGGCTGAGTGGTGAGTTCATGAGGACCTTGTTGAGTATGACTGCCTCTCAGGTTGTCTCTGTCATTTATTTATTCATTTATTCATGTTCTTATTTGCCAGAGGATGCGTGCATTCACCAGAAAAAGCAAGAGAGAGAGAGAGAGAACACAAGAAAACACCCCCCTCGATGGGGATCGTAATCCCTCTTCTTCCATCTCCCCTTCCTCTCAAGATTTTGAGCACGCATGCACACGTGCCTGGTGTTTCTCAAGCTGCCAGGTCCAGGACTCAAACCGTGCAGTTGGCC